GATGAAGTGTGAGTAGTTTACCTCAGACCTACGGGTCCATAGTTAGTAGCTAGATGGCTTCTTCTCTCTTTTTGGATCTCAATACAATGTTCTCCCCCTCGCTTGTGGAGATCTATTCGATGTAATCTTCTTTTTGCGGTGTGTTTGTTGAGACCGATGAATTGTGGGTTTATGATCAAGTCTATCTATGAATAATATTTGAATCTTCTCTGAATTCTTTTATGTATGATTGGTTATCTTTGCAAGTCTCTTCGAATTATTAGTTTGGTTTGGCCTACTAGATTGATCTTTTTTGCAATGGGAGAAGTGCTTAGCTTTGGGTTCAATCTTGCAGTGTCCTTTCCCGGTGACAGTAAGGGCAGCAAGGCACGTATTGTATTGTTGCCATCGAGGATAACAAGATGGGGTTTTATTCATATTGCATGAGTCTATCCCTCTACATCATGTCATCTTGCTTAAGGCGTTACTCTGTTTTTAACTTAATACTCTAGATGCATGTTGGATAGCTGTCGATGAGTGGAGTAATAGTAGTAGATGCAGGCAGGAGTCGGGTCTACTTGTCTCGGACGTGATGCCTATATACATGATCATACCTAGATATTCTCATAACTATGCTCAATTCTGTCAATTGCTCAAGAGTAATTTGTTCACCCACCGTAGAATACTTATGCTCTTGAGAGAAGCCACTAGTGAAACCTATGGCCCCCGGGTCTATCTTTATCATATTAATCTCCTACTACTTAGTTATTTCCTTTGCTATTTACTTGCCTTTATTTTACTTTGCATCTTTTATCATAAAAATACCAAAAAATATTATCTTATCATATCTATCAGATCTCACTCTCGTAAGTGGCCCTATAGGGATTGACAACCCCTATTTGCGTTGGTTGCGAGGATTTATTTGTTTTGTGCAGGTACGAGGGACTCGCGCGTAGCCTCCTACTGGATTGATACCTTGGTTCTCAAAACTGAGGGAAATAGTTACGCTACTTTGCTGCATCATCCGTTCCTCTTCGGGGAAAACCAACGCAGTGCTAAAAGAGGTAGCACCGAGACGCGCTGTCATCCCACTCGCGAGGCATAGCCTGTCGCAGCGAGGGAGGAGGGGGTGTCAGCAGAGGTTGGTCGGGAGGGAGGGGACGGCGAGGTGTTCGACAGAGTTGCAGTGGAAGAGCGAACATGGTCGAGTGAGGCGGCGGGGGGAGGGGGAATGTCGCGGACGGGAGGCCACCCGTTAGCCAGATCGAGGCTACCGGTGTCCCGGCCCTAGGGCACGAAGGCAGCCCAACCGGGGGACATGGGCCCAACAGGGGGAAGCAGCAGCTGGGCCGGGCCGCGGCCCAGGAGGCCCTCGCAGGCGAGGCCCGGTCCAGCGAGCGGTGGGGAGCCGCGACCTGTAGGGTTTCCCCCCGAGGTGCACGATTCGCCGCTGCCGCCGCCGAGATGGCCAGCCAGGGTCGTCGCAGGGGAAGGGGAGCTCGGAAGCAGAGCGGGGAGGACCTGAAGGCGGCTATGAACGGACGGAAGGGCAAGACGCGAACAAACGATGCCACTGGGGACAGGCTACGGCGAGCCGCCAGCGGAGCCGGGGACATTACCGGACACCCGCTAGCCACCGGCCGGCGCCACGACGAGCGGGCGTAGCCCTAGTCGGAGCGGCCAACACCCCCCTAGGACCGCAACCGTCGGCGGCGCGCCCCTCCCTCCCGCAAGGCCGCACCTTGCATCCCACTTGCCCGAGACGAGCTCGAGGGCGGCGTGGGCACCCGCAGCAGTCGCGAGCCGGCAGCAGAACCCCGCATGCGGGGGGCTGAGCAGAGCGACGGGGAGCGGCGGGATGGGGAGAGGGGCAGCTGGCAGGAGAGGGCAGCGGCTCCTCGTCAGCGAGGTCCGCCCAGCGGACGCGAGGGGCAGGGG